GGAGCTGAGGAATTTCCTCCCCACTCAGATTCCACAATACACTGGGTGAGGACAGGGACCAGAATTGGGGTCTTTTGTGCAGCGCCAGAGCTGGAATCCCCTTTGGGTACCTCCCACTTCTGTGTCCCCCCCACTAAGAGAGCACGTGTAAATTTAAACTATTAAAGTACATTTGGTACTTGTTAAGTTTTTAAGTTCAGGAATGGCAGATTTATCACTAATTAAACAATAATTGCATTATAGAGTACTGAAAAAATTGCTTATAATATAAACAACATCTGGTAAAGATTAAAGAGAAAAGAGTATTTCTTCCATGCTCAGATTTGTTGCAAGAGACTTGAATGTTGAGAACAAAATAGAAGCTAAAATGTAAAAGAGATCCTTAGTTTTATGTTTACCATTTTGAAAATAGAAAAGATTAAAATGGTATAAAGGAAAACACATATTTCTAAAGGTGCCTTGTTTTTCGAAGGGGCTTGGAAGGTGGCTCAGTGGTAGAGTGCTTCCCTAGCAGGCATGAAGCCCTGGGTTCCATTTCTTAGTACCACATACACAGAAAAAGCTGGAAATGGTGCTGTGGCTCAAGTGGTAGAGTGCTAGCCTTGAGCAAAGGAAGCTCAGGGACAGTGCCCAGGCCCTAGGCTCAGCCCCAGGACTGGCAAAACACCAAACAAACCAAAAGCCAGTGAAGGTTCTTACATAGGTTCTTTTTTTTTTTTTTTTGGTCGGTCATGGGGCTTGAACTCTGGGCTTGAGTGCTGTCCCTGTGCTCTTCAGCTCAAGGCAAGCGCTCTACTGCTTGAGCCACAGCACCACTTCTGGTTTTCTAGTGGTTTATTGGAGATAAGAGTCTCAAGGACTTTCCTGCCCGGGCTGGCTTTGAACTGCGATCCTCAGATCTCAGCCTCCTGAGTAGCTAGGATTACAGGCGTGAGCCACCGGCTCCTGGCCTTACATAGATTCTTTTTTTTTGCCTCAGAGACATTTTGCTGTTGAATGCTAATTACATAAATATATATTGTATTATAAAACAATACATATAATGACTTACCTGAGTAAAACATTAAAGTATGTTAAAATAGGCTATGGAAAGAGAATCTATTCCAAGCTTACTGAACTTCAGCTTCTCTCATCTGCAACTATCTTCTTGATTCTAAGGGGGGAAAAATATATATATATACACACATATATTAATGAAAGGTTACAATGGAAAGGGACTTGAGAGTTTTTTTTTCTGTTCCTTCAATATCTTTTTTGTAAGAGGCATTCACTTTCATCTGTGAATTACTTCAAATAATAGTATGATTTCCCTTTCTCCTGTCTCTGTCTCTCTGTCTTGTCTGTCTATCTGCCTGCCTCTCTTCCCCTCCCCCCATGTCCTCACCTCTTTCAAGTGGCAAGTATTTCATAATCATTGATGAGCAGCTAAAAATAGCAGATTAAATAAACATTAAGCAGCACTAAAGAATCCATGCTACTTGTGTAGTTTATGGTACAGAGTGACAGGCTGCCTCTCCCTCACCTCTCCTTCCTTTGTTACCAGAACTTCCCCTGAATAGATGCCTACATCCTAGCTTCCTTGAGAGATGGGAATGAGCTGCCCTAGGCTGGGCAGATATAAACAGTGCAGGTGTGGGTAGCTGTGGAAGACAGTCCAGGGCTAATGGATAAATTAAAGGGAAAATTATTTGTAGAGGAAGCATGTTTAACAGAGCAGTCTGGTCCATAGGAAAGGAAGGCAAAGGGGATGTAGGTCTCCATCATTATCATCTGTTCCTCCAATATTTAGTGAAAGGATTGAGGGAGGAAAGAAGGATAGAAGGAAAGTTATTGAAGGCCCCCTGGTGACATGGTTTCTCCAGAGCTGATAATATCTAAGGGAAAATTATTAGTCCAGATGGAGAAGAGAGTTTAAGAAACAGCACAGTGAGATGGAGAAAAACAGATGAGCAGATGGAATCCAAGAAAGCATTTCTTTTTCTCTCCTTAGGTTTGTAGAAAAGATAATCACACAGATCCTGGGTTTTCAGAGCTGGCTCTAGAGTCCTGGGACGCAGAGTGGCCAGGAGTGCTGTAATGTCCCCCTTGACAAGAAAAAACAGATACCGAAGCGCTAAATAACTTGTCTTGCCATTTACAGGATGCTGTAAAGAGGTAGCAGGAAATGTAGCTTCCAAAATATCATTTTATTAAGACCTTAGTTCTATTTAGAAGATTCTCTTGGTAAGAGCAGCTTAAATACGCTTTTGTAATCTGATGTCTCAGGGACATATGTCTGACTTGGGAGCATTTTGGTCCTTATGAGGAGACTCGCTGACCCTGAAATTATGTGCTCGGGAAGTATAAAAGTTCTCATTTATAAAACAGCCAGTAAAGGGAGAGCATGAGAAAGTGCTGTGCACAGAAAGACTCTTGCCATGGCCATTTCATCAGGATTCCTTTGCATACTGGCCTCCTACCTCTTCAAAATCTAAACCAGATTATGGACTCAGACTGGGAGTAACCAAGACTCTAAAGTATTGGGAGAGGGGAGTGGAAATATCTGTAGAGAGTCCATCTATTTACATAGGAGAGAACAGGCAGATTCCACACAGCCTGAAACATTTGATTGAGCTGTAATACACTACATCAAAGATAAGTCCAAGTTCTTCTCTTTTTTTGTATTTGTTAATTGTTATTATAAACGTGATGTACAGAGTGGTTAGAATTACATAAGTCAGGTAATGAGTACGTTTCTTTCTAGACAAGGTGACTCTTTCCCTCCCTGTCTCCGAGTTTTTCCCTGCCATCCCCACCCACAAGTTGTATGGTTCATTTTCCACAGAGTGTCTAGTGAGTACCACTGTTCACTCTTTGTCCATTTCTGTGCTCCCTCTTACCCTCGCAACTTGTTCTGTTTTGACAAGTTGTGTTAGAGCATTCTTACTTGCTTCTCACTGTGTCTATATCCTTTTGAGCATATGCCTTTGGCCTTTAGAAATACAAATAGTCAGAATTGAAGGATCCTTAATTTCATATCTGATCTGCAATGGCTCTGGGGGTAAACAATTTAGAACAAGAGGAAATTATTTTGTTTTACTACTTTTAATTCTGGTCTTATTTTTTATTAATTAATTTTTAGGCTCTGTGTGTCTTATTTGCATATAGGCACACAGCAGTGCTGTAAGATCTTAGTACAGTACTTTAGTGTCTTAAAACACTTCTCTTGAGGCAAGTTATCTAGGTGTAAACTCCAAAAAAGGGTTCTGGCAAACTTAGCTGAATCACATATTTACAAGTCATATACTTTACTTTATTTGATTTTTTTTCATTTTGAATGCATAGAAACTTATAAATACTTTTGGGGTATGTATCCACTCACCTGATAATGACTTATTATTTACAGTGAGCAGCACACAGACTTGCTAAGGCTTGCTAAGTTCAAATCCAAGAAGTAACCTATAGGCCTTTCTTTGTTATATTGAGTTACTTTTGTAAGTAATGAATTGATCTATGAGAATTTCAGTTTGGCTTCTTTCAAATAAAAATGTGTATCAATGAAGTATGTGATATCGTGGGCTACTCCAAAAGTAATAGGGAAGTTAAACTTACAAATCACAGTAATTAATAATTAGAAGATCATCCCATCACTTGAAGAAGTGGCAATCAATAAAACACCTTGCTGGAGCCTTCAGCACCAGCCTGTAGTGATGGTGTGTGACCACTAGATGGCACACGCTCAATGTTACAAGTTACCATACCATAGAACAGAGAAATTTCTAGAAGCCTGTGAAGATGGGCACCATGCTTTCTTCAGGATAGCCCAGAAAATTGCTAAAGTGGAGAACATTTTTTTCCCTTGTTCATTGGAGGGGGCTGAAATTTTTTTTCCAAGGGTAGTTTTCAAGTGCAATATGACTCAAAGAAATTTCCTTTTGAACCTCACATTTGGATGCCACTATTAAAATAGGGGGTTTATCGAACAAGATGGATGTTGTTCTTTGTCATAAAATCATGCTTTACGTTGTAGTCAAAAAGAAGGTGACACCTGGGCCAGGTCAACCGAAGCCCAAACCCAGGCTGCAGGAGGCTAGGCTAGCTTCTGCAGACTTAGATTATTGAAACCTGTTTCCAAACATTCTGGGAATGGACTATATATCTTTCATCATTTAGGATGGTAGTACCTTTTTTTTTCTTCTTCATTAATCACCTCTTTTTTTATCTTGAATTAATGCTGCTAATTTATACTGTGCAAAACACAAAGTTGTTTTAATTCACTAGGGTAATCATTGGTTTCCTAAATAATAGCCCTAAACTATGTATGTACTTTTTACCATAGATGCAGGAAAAAAAGACGGCTGCTAGAGACCTAACCTTAACCTTGAGGCACTTCTAGACCAAGCAAGGAGATCAGACAAGAGGCACATTTAAGTAAAACAGGCAACACCATACTGAGTTTCTGTGATGGCATGCTGGTAGAAAGCATTTTTTAAATTATCAGTAAAATCTGTTACTTTGGGCTGGGAATGTGGCTTACTGGTAGAGTGCTTGCCTAGCATGCCTGAAGCCCTGGGTTTGATTCCTTAGTACCATATACACAGAAAAAGCTGGAAGTAGCGCTGTCGCTCAAGTAGTAGAGAACTAGCCTTGAGCAAAAAGAAGCTCAGGAACAGTGCTCAGGCCCTGAATTCAAGTCCTAGGACTGGCAAAAACCAACAACAATGACAAAAAACTGTTATGCCCCCACCCCATATCATACAGGCTTTTTAGAGAAAGTGAGGTAAGTAGGAATAAAAAGAGAAAATAAAACTTGCCTACCATCCCTTGGTTAAAGAGAACTAGTGTTTGCATTTGTACTTGTTTGTTTGTTTTCCTGTACGCTTTTTACTTTTCTAGTCCAGTAGAATTGACCTATTTTCTGGTCACCAGCAGCCCTGGACGGTTCATTTGCCTGCTAGGCAAGTTGTTATTGATGAAATGCCTGTGGTATTTTACCTTCTCATGGTCTTTTCCTTTTGTAGCCTCAAGCAGCCTGTAACCCTGCCATATTCAGAATTGTTGATGAAATGTTCAGGTAAATATTATGCTGTCCCTACTAGCATTTGATCTATAAACACTTAGCTTTCAAACATAAACGTGAAGTCCTGCAGTCTCTGTCTATACCATGGGGAAATGAAGAGTTTCTGATTCTTCCTTAGCCCTCTGAGCTTTGTGGTAGAGGTGAAAACTCAGTATGGATTTAATAACTATGACTAAGAATTCAGACAACTTTCCTTGAGCCTTTTTATATCTGACTAATAATGACAGAAAAGCAGAACTGTATTAGGTATTAGGATCATGAAATATTGATGTAGGATTCATCCCAGCTCAGCATAAAACAGCAGTATACTCCCTCACCACATGAGGGCTGACTGATCTTTGTAAAAGACTTGAAAGCCAAGAAAAATAAATAAATAAAGCCATTCTTAACAGAGCTCTTCAGAAAGGCAGAATAAACCCCGTGTGTTTCTTTCAGCGTTGATTTTTATTTATTCTGAAAATGTGGGCTGTCGTGGAGCGTGCGCTAGCTTTCTAGAGGAGGAGAGGTGCGGAGCTCGCTGCATTGTAGGTTGGGGCTGCTCCAGTGTGCTGAGGGGGTTCCAGCCATGGAGCTCTCAAACTAGGTCTCTTTGGGAGAGCTTGTCACCCCTGAGTTTGCAGCCTACATAGATGTAGGCTACCAGGGTCTGGACCTGCCCTCCACCTCCCACCCTAACTTTGAGCTGCTTCCTCTTCGGGCAGCTCTGTCGCTGCTTGTGAAAGCAGAATGTCAGTGGCTACCTGCACGTCTACTGTACACATGTGCTTGCAAAGAGCAGTGGGCACTTTAAAAAACAAGAAAGAGCTAGTTTAAAGAAAGTGCTTAGAAAAGGGAGTGATTGGTTTCTCCTGCGCTCACACTGGGATTGGAATTGGAGGAATTGCCACACTTCTGCTGCTTATGGTACAAAAGGAATGTTTCCACCCCCTTCACAGGTTTGCCATATGAAGCATTCGGTGTGTCATGATCTGACTTTGCCTTGTCTAGGTTCGCACTCCTGGAAACGGATGGAGCCCCAGAAGTAGTAACCTCTCTGCAAGTGTTCACAAGATGCTTTGCAGAAGCTCTGGAGAAAGAAAACAGAGAGGTTTGTTATATTGTCTGTATTACTCATTAAAGAGGTATGTTCTGTTGCATATGTTACTCATTCACCACAGAGAAAAAAGGCTGCTAATCACCTAATAGGGATACTTTCTTAGAAACTTGGTTTTGTGGTAGCACATTGTAGGCACATGCACTCCCACAAAGCTGTACTGTTCCCCCCAGTCCTATTTTCAGAAAACTTAACAGGCTGCTTTACTCAGGAAGAAGGCTTCCAACCAGTTGTCATCACGAAGGCAAGACCATCACAAAGTCAAAATACAGTCTATCTGCCTATGCCTTGGTGCTCAGGTGCTTTGTTCCATTGCCATGTTTAAGATTATTGTCTTGCTGGCACACATTATCCTGAGGGGGAATCTCCCCGGCTTTGTGTGCTTGTTCTGCCCCTTGGCCTGCATCTGATCTTCTGGCCAGCAGAAAGCCTTCCTGGCATATGTGAATAGGAGATACCACTGATTACAGAGCACAGTGGACATTCTTGGTGATTGGTGTCTTTATTTCCGTGTGTGTGTGTGTGTGTGTGTGTGTGTGTGTGTGTGTGTGTGTGTGTGTGTGTGTGTGTGTGTGTGTGATGGTCCTGGGGCTTGAACTCAGGGCCTGAGCACTGTCCCTGAGCTTTTGTACTCAAGCTTAGCACTCTACCATGTGAGCCACAGCTCCACTTCTAGCTTTTTTGGTAGTTAATTTAGAGATAAGAGTCTCATATACTTTCCTACCCATACTGGCTTCAAACCACAATCCTCAGATCTCAGCCTCCTGAGTAGCTAAGATTGTAGACCTGAGCCATTGGTGCCTGGAAAGAAGTCTTTATTTCTAAGAGAAACCAAAAAGTGAGTGGATTCCAGTAGAGAAACGAAATGGTGAAAAGGTCTGAAAATGATTTGAGTCACTATAAAGGAGGAACCAAGAATGGCAGTGCCCAGGAAGTATGTAAGATGCTGTTGGTGAGCCGAAGACACCAGGGTCCCCTCAACCAAGGCTGGACACTGGCTGTAAGAGCCAATGTCTAATTAGAAAGACTGTGTGAAACAGGAGCTTTTGCTTTTGTTTTAAGCCAGAGAATTTTCACCTTTGGCCATTATAACAAGCCTTTACATCTCATGCCACAGACTTAGAGTTTATGTGGTGATTTCGCTGTTCAGCATAGTTCTAGTTCACTACATCTTTCCACTGGAGGAGAGCACAGCCCCTGTGATACTCTGCAATTTGATTTGGGAGGGCAGAGCTAGGGTGTTCAGCCCTTGCTAAAACTCCACACAGCTGAGCTAGGGTGTTCAGCTCAGCCCTTTCTAAAACTCCACATAGCACTAGGTTGAAGAAACCTCTCTGGTTTTACCAGATGTTTCTGCTTTTGAGGTAATAATAAATACTTATGATTTATTTTTTCCTATCATCTTCTTCCCTAGGGAAGTTAGCTAGATGATAGCAATGTTATCAGTGGTGCCCATGCCTGGAATTTGGGAGGAGAGCTCAGCTGAAAAGCACCGTCTGGTCCTCACAATCATCTTGAGGCATAAATATAAATATGTTATCCTCCCTGTACATTCTTATATTCTCAGTTAGAAACTGACCTGTAGCAAACTTCACCCTTGGAGTTCTGGGACAATTCCAGCTTGGGACAGAGAATGTAGACTGGCTTGAGTGTCTTCATTTTGGTTTTACTCTGAGTCTCTATTGGCCTTGGACACCTGATTTGGTCTAGAGGTGTTATTTTAATTTAGAACAATACCCTGACTAGGTTATGTCTGTCTGGGAAATTGGAATCGCCAACTGAGCCCAGATGTGAGATAGGACAGAAATGAACCCTTCCCCCTCCCCCCACCATACACCCCTTCCCCCCAAAAAACTAGCAAAAACACAGAATGCATTTGCCACCGATCTTTGACTCAAAATAGGAAAGTAATAACCTTATGGATTTACAAACTGCCTTTATATACCTTCATATCTACCTATTATTTCATTTCCTTCTGGTACTATCCCCAACTACCTCCTTTTTCCCTGATGGGTGGTCTCAGTCACTGACCCCTGACTTCATCTATGGACTTACCAGGGTCCGTGATGCCTACATGTCCTGTCAAGCTTGATCTATGCATGGCTTCAATTCTGTGCCTTATTCATTCACTTTGTCATTCCTAACAAAAGGAATATCAGTGAAACCTATCTCTAAACTAGTGGAAATGATTTCTTTTTGTCTGTATTCCCCTCTGCCTTATCTATGCTTCTTCTGTGCTTCTCAACTCAGATAAACACTGTTTGGAATATTACGTTTATAATTCCTTTGCTTTTTTTCTGGAAATAGTTTGATTACCTATATACGTCTAAACCATGTTTTTAATTTGGGTTAACTTCATACTTTGTAGGCAAAGAAAAAAAGTACCATACTGTATGCAATCTTTGAGATTTTTCCACTTGGCTTGTTATAAAGATTGTTTATAGGTGGCTGTTGTAAATGTTGTTATGTAGGAGTCCATTGTGCAAATGTTCCGCAATGTATCTACTTTTCATTTGGTAGGCATTTGGGTTGTTTCCAGATTTTGTTTCTGTTATAAACAGCATTGCTGTAGCTGTTCTGTATGATAATTAGAAGTGCTTAGCTACTAGGAATGCAGATGTTCAACTGCCCAGTTGGTGGCATTTACACTATTAATTCACATTCTTTTCCACTATCAGAAGTGCTTAGCTCCAACTGGGTGCCACACTTATTACCCAGGCTACTGGGGAGGCTAAGATCCAGAAAACTGAAGTGTGAAGCTAGCCCTGGCAGAAAAATTTGGGATTCTATCTCTAGAGTAACTAGTAAAAAGCTGGTCTAGAGGCATTGGCCAAGTGGTAGAGTACTACCTGAGCGCATACAGGGCCCTGAGTTCAAACTTTGGTCCAGCCACCCCCCAAAAAGGAGTAGCTTAACTTCATTTCTTCTTATTCCCATTCTACTCTTTCCTCTCATTCCTGTAGCTGGTATGTGGGCAGCATGATTTAGTTCCACCTATGAACAGTAGGCAAAAACTTCATGTGGACAGAGTAGGACACTTTTTTTTTTGCACAATGACTGGCTCAGTACAAGCAGCCAGTTGAGTCAGGGTCAGGTTACAGCAGATCAGCAGTCTGATAATGTACAAAACTCTTAAGTATCCTGCAGATAAACATTATAAATTTAGGGCAAGTTATTGTTAAAAATCAATTTGAAGGCAGGAAGGGAGTGCATCTGGAAAAATGGACAAAATAACAGAGACTTTGGACCCTGAAGGGGAAACAGAAGTGAGCAAACTCCAGCTTCTCCCCAGGGCTTTCCTGGGAAGAGCCCAGGTTCCCAGGTGCATTGACTAGAGGTGGGAAATATCAGAGCTGTAGGCTTTCAGAGGGTGTGGGGTGGGGTGGGGGGCAGGAAGCAAAAAGAAACCACATTAAAAGATAGACCTTGCTGGGTACAGAGCTTGACAGATGCTTGAGAGGTAGATATAAGAACATAGCATTTCAAGATCTTCCCTGGAAAAAGTTACCAAGACTTTATCTCAAAAACAATCCAGGAGCCAAGTATGGTGGTACATATCTGTAATTCCAGCCACTTGAGAGGGGGAGGTAGGATGATAGAAGTCCTGATAGGAAGATAGAAAGCTGCCCTGGGCAAAAGCATGAAACCCTATCTAAAAAAACAAAATAAAAGCACAAAGATTGGTTGTGTGGTTCAAGTGGCAGAGTGCTTTAAGTGCTGCCCTGAGATTAGTCCCCATTACCACCAAAAGGGAAAAAAATAGATCTAAACCAAACAGAGAAAGAACAAAAATTATTCGCCAAAATTAAATGAAAAATATTGTAGTAAAAAGACAGAGATGTCAGATGGGATTCAAAACAAAACAAGATCAATAAGAATAAAAAGACCCACCTATATGTTGTTTCCAGAGCTCTATCCTAATGACGGACAGATGGAAAGTGAAAAGAGGAAAGGATGTTATGTTATGTAAACACAGGAAAGCTGAGGTGGTTGTTAGTAGCAGGTGAAGCTGACTCCCAAGATAAATCACATGCTGGAGAGAAAGTGCAACATTTATAATGACAGTTCATTGAGAGAAATACCAAATTTAAATGGGTATGGGCCTAGTAGAGTCTCAAAATTAATTAAATGAAACTGACAAAAGGAAGAAATAGACAAATTTGTGGAAATACTCGAACTGCAAACCACAAAGCATTTCTGAGAGCAACTAAAGCAGACTTGAATGTAAGGAGAGAAAAACCACATTCATGAACTTCTCCAGGTCCAGCTGCTGCCTATTTCCATTCCTGGTGATCTCAGTAGCCCCTCACCTTCTCTCCCCCCGTCCCCCGCAAGGTGCATGGTACTTGGGCTCAAACCAGGGTTTTGTGCAGGCAAGGTAAGTGCTCATTCATTGAGCCAGAACTTAAAGCAGGCTTTTAAAAAATGAAAAATTTTAGATCCAGGCATTGGTGGGTCACATCTGTAATTCTAGCTCATGCCTATAATCTTAGCTACTTGGGGGGCTGAGATCTGAGGATCATGGTTCAACACAAGTCCAGGCAAGAAAGACCGTAAGATGCTTATCTCCAACTACCCCCACTCCCCCAAAAAAGCTGGAAGTGGAGCTGTGGCTCAAGTGGTAGAGCACTAGCCTTGGCTAAAAATGCTCAGGGACAGCGCTCAGGCCCTGAGTTCAAGCCCCAGGACTGGCACACACATACACAATATTTTTTTAAGTAGGTTCTAAAATGTACATGAAAATACAAAGACCCTCCAAAAACCAGAATCGTTTTGAAAAACAAAACCAGAGGACTCATACTACTACCTGATTTCAATACTTAAAGTTACAGTAATTAAAACAAGAAGGTATTGGCAAAAGGTCAGACATAGATCAGAACAGAGTCCAGATAAATACCTATATATATGATTGAGGTCAGTTGATTTTTGACAGAGTGGCTTGGTCGCAATTCAATGAGGGAAAGGAAAGTTTTCAACAAAAGGTGTGGAATAACTGAATGTCTGTGTGAGGTAAATATATCTCAAGCTCAGCCTCAGAAAGCATACAGAAAATAATCAGAGAGGACTACAAACTTTGTTGAACATAAAGGTTAACATTATGAAGCTCTTAGCAGAAAATACAGTAGAATCTGTGTTGGAATAATCATAGATTTCTTAGGATGAAAAAAAGGAATTACTGATCATTCAAGAAAAATGCATAAGAATAGACTTCATTAGAATTAGAATGGATTTATTTAATAGATACTGATACTGTTTAAGAGAACAAACAAGCAAGCCACAATGTGGAGAAAATATATGCATATCACAAATGATTCTTGTCCATAATATATGAAGATCTCCTACATAAGAAAAACAATTTAATTGTTTTTAAAAGACAGAAGTCTTAAACACACATTTCATAAAAGCTATGTAAAATGGCAAAGAAAATTGACATTCTTTACCATCAAGAAATACATATTAAAGCATGAATAAAAAATGCATGCCTATGGTAATGTTTCAAGCCTATTAGAATGGCTAAATTAATAAGCTTGGCAACACCAAATATTGGTGAGAGTGTAGAGCAACTAATTCTTATGCTTTGGAAATGGGAGTATGAAATGGTATAACTACTAGAAAACTACTGGCCATATAAGTTTTATCGACACCTACACTATAGTTTAGTAATTGCTCTCTTATAGTACTCACTTAAGAGAAAAGAAAACACTTGTCCATAATGACAGATGTGAATGTTAATTGCAGTTTTATTTGTAATGACAAAACCAGAAGCAACCCAAATGCTCATCAGTACTCTGCAGTAGATAAACAGATTGCTATATTCATGCAGTGACTACTTTTGAGCAATAGATAAAAATGAACTGCTTTTATAAAGTAACATGAATGAATCCTTTTCTTAAAAAAGTGTCAGAGAAGCCAGTCACAAAAGAATACACACCCCTTAGTTCTTTTTACATGAAATAATAAGCAAAAGTAAAGTCACTGAAATTAAAATAGTTGCCAGGCGATGATACAGGGAGTGGCTGAGTCATAGGGAACTAGGTAGGGAGATAGAAATGTCCTGGGTCCTGATTACAGTCCTGGTCACATGGATTCACACATCTACCTACTCGTCAAAATGTTCTTTGGCCCTGTGTACTCCCTGAAGTCTTCCAGATTTTACCCTTTCCCCCTTTAAAGTACTTCAAAACCTTTGTGCCTCTGTGTGTGTGTGTGTGTGTGTGTGTGTGTGTTTGTGTGTGTGTGTGTGTGTGTATGTGTGTGTGTAAGTGAGAGAGAGAGAGAGAATGTGTGTAAGTTGTGGGGCTTGAACTTAGGGCCTGGGTACTGTCCCTGACCTCTTCTGCTCAAGGCTAGTGCTCTACCACTTTGAGCCACAGCTCCACTTCTGGTATTTGAGTGATTAATTGGAGATAAGAGTCTCGTGGGGACTTTTCTGCCCAGGCTTGCTTTGAACCATGATCCTTAGATCTTAGCCTGCTGAGTAGATAGGATTATAGTCATGAGCTACCCTTTGTGCCTTTCAGGACACAGATAGCTACTGTCCTCAGTTTTCAGAAATACAAGCACCACTTTTTGTTGTTGTTGTTTAAAAACACATACACACTCTCGCTGAAATTTGATATCTCAAAATTGTATTGGTAGCTTTCACTTAAATGGAAGGCTTAGGTATAAAAGTGAGTTTGTATGAAATACTCATACAGACCAGAAGGTAACTTCTAAAAAGGTTCATTTTTCTGGAAAATATTTGTCAGGTTATTGGAAGCACATTTTTAAAAAAGTTTTTAAGAAAATGTTCTTTACTGGCATTGGCAGGAACTTCCTGAATAAAAAACCTGGGGCTCAGCAAATAGGAGAGAAAATTGATAAATGGTATTACATCAAGCTAAAAAGCTCTGTACAGTGAAGGATGTAGTCACTAAGATAAAAAGATAATACAGAATGGAAGAAGATCTCTGGTAGCCAAATATCTGAGCCTTATAGCCAAATCAATAAATAGGCAGAGGAGTTAACCAGACACTTCTCAGAAGAAGTACATATGGTCAATAAATATATGAAGAAATGCTCAAGATTCCTGACCATAAAGGAACACAAATCAAAATGACATTGAGATTCCATCACCCTCCACTCAGAATGTCATCATCAAGAACATGACAGCAACAAATTCTGGCAAGGATGCAGGGAAGAAGAGATCCTAATATGCTGTTGGTGGGAACGCAAATTTGTGCCATCATTATGAATATCAATATGGAGATTCCTCACAGAATTAGAGCAGTACCACTCTTGGGCATTTATGCAAGATTGCTAGTTTTGATACCACAAAGGCACCTGCACACTCATTTATTATAGCTCTTTTCACAATTACCAAGTTATGGAAACATCTTAGGTACACTACAAGAAAATGTGTGTATGTGCATGCACACATGCACATGCGTACACGTACACACAGTAGAACTGATTTCATCAGAAAGAACAATATTGGCAGGCAAATGGATGGACCTGGAAAAAAATTACGTTGAGTCAAATCAGGCTTTGACACAGAGTACATGTCTTCTCTTCTATATGGAAGTTAGACCCAAAATGTAAATATGTTAAAGACACTTACAGAGATATATATCCAACTAAAGTATGGCATGTGCAAGTGTAGGTTTCCATGGTGTAATCCTTTTGAGCAATTTTCAGACAATATAACAAAATTAATACCAGGAATCTGAAGCATATCTTATCTAGAGGGGAGTGGATGAATGTAGTCATAATGTTCAATGTACATATATGAAAATGGAACTAGGAAATTGAGGGGATGGGTGGGGTTGGAATGGATGGGGGCAAGGGGAGTATGATGGAAGGCGTGACATTGGATCAAGATGCGTTGTACTGGGGGGGAGGGGGAAGATGGGAAGGGATGGGAAGGGGAAACAAAGGAGGAGGCAACAATGCTTGATAAGAAATGTACTCATTACCTTGCTCGTGTAATTGTAACCCCTCTGTAGGTATTTTCACAATAATAAAAAAAAGATGCATTGTACTTATAAATGGATGTTGAATTGAAATCTCCTTGTCCAACTATTTAAAAGGAAGGAAGGGGAAGTGGCGCTATGGCTCAGGTGGTAGAGCGCTCGCAGTGACAGCGCCCAGGCCCAGAGTTCAAGCCCCATGACCCACCAAAAAAAAAAAAAAAGAAGAAAAAAAAAAGGAAGGAAGGAAAGGAAGGTTGATTGGTTGAGTTAGTACAGTAGGTTTCACTGGGGAGGGCAGAAGAGGCTCAGGGTTTTGTGTTCTTCCGGTACCTTTCCATTCCTGACATTCATGATTATTTTGCATTTTTGACCCTATTGTAGCTGAAGTTTGCACTCAGGACCTACTTTCCCTATGCTGCTCCATCTCTCACTACCGTGGTGTTGCAGCATCCTGAAGGTGAGTTGAAGTTGCCTATATCCAAGTCGTAGTGAGAAGAGCTTTTGGGCTGAGATCCCTTCCTGCTCTCAGGGTCTCACTGCTTGTGGATTTTGCTCTGAATATCTGCCTTACTTCCTAGGTATAACTTTTTTTTCCAGTCCTGGGGCTTGAACTTAGGGCCTGGGTACTGTCTCTGAGCTTCTTTTTGCTCAAGGCTAGCAGTCTACCACGTGAGCCACAGTCCTACTTCTGGCCTTTTCTGTTTATATGGTATTGAGGAATTGAACCCAGGGTTTCATGCATGCAAAGCAAGCACTCTACCACCAAGCCACATTCCCAGCCTTGAACTTTTTTTTAAATCCCTTACTAGTATGTCTACAGATAGCACTGGCTCTGCTGGTTCCAGCCAGGTCTACTTAGATGCCAGGAACAGGCTGGGACTTGGCTGAGTCGGAATAAAACAGTACCCTTGTTTGTTTTTCATTCTGTTGCTCCATGAAGCCTTGTGACAGAAGTTAAAATGAAGGACGAAGCCACGAAAATTTAGAGGAAATGTCTCCTAGCCAAGCCCAGGAAAAGATTGTGAAGAATTTAATATAATACTTAACATTAGACCATTCCTTTTCCTGATTTCATTTGCCAGCCTTTTCCCATAGATTATGTCCTTAATTTAGCTGGTATTGACCAGAGAGTATGTCTGTGAGCTTGTGTTTTGGAAACTTCTGAGAAATGAAGAATAAAATTGTCTTTCTCTGTGTCATCTGGAACCTTCAGGAAAGTCAGAACTGATACAGCACAGTTGGCACTGAGGAAGGAGCTTATGTGGCCAGGGAAGAAGAGAAATGAGAGAGGATAAAGAGCCATCCCAATTCCCTGTTGTGTAGTTTTTGGCCTTTTTTCCCTTCTATACTTGAATGAGAGAGAGCCATGTGAGGAAAATAGATGATTCAAAATTTTAGAACATTTTACAAAATCTAAATTCCTCTTCCTTTGCCTAAATGTAGGTTATCATTGAAGGTGACCCATCTAACATGATCCTCAGATGCTATGATAGGGCTTGCATGGCCTGAGATGGATCTCTGTTTGATGATTTGTGAGAACTCAGAACACTATGGAGAACTTTATTAACAAGACAGAAAGGTCCATGTGCAACATGGGCCTGAGGTCAGCTCATGAGGGCTAGTTAACTGGTCTCCAGAAAAGTGACTAGAGTTTAGGCTTGGAAACCTATAAACAGAAAAACATAAAGTACATATGCCTGAACTCAGCCTGACTGCCTGTTCACTTGTATAACTGTCCTAGATGCCTGCCCCAAAGTAGATCACTGACCTCAAGTAGCAGAACAGACCTCCTTCTTGGCCCAGGAATCTGCATTGCCTTTGGGAAAGCAAGTGTATAATCATAGGTGGAAGTGTTTTAACAGTCTAACCTCCTATTGATCAGAATTATATTTCTTGATTGTTGTGAGGTTCTGGGGCAAAGATGATCACTTGCAATCCTGACTCTTCAGGAGTCATAAGGAATAGAGATAAAAAGTTAATATCAAAGCAACTATTAATATGAATAATAAAATAACAAGTGCCTTCAAAAGGCTATGATTAAGGGTTATAGAATTCAGAGGAGGGAGAGAGATTGAGTGCCCTTTAGTCTGTGCTGTTGTAGAAGAGCATTATCTCCCTCGTGTATTTGATTATAGAACCTATGGGATGGGAAGGTGGCTCAGTGGTAGAGTGCTTGCCTTGCATGCATGAGGCCCTGGGTTCAATTCCTCAGCAACACATAAGCAGAAAAGAAAAGGCCAGAAGTAGCTCTGTGGCTCAAGTGGTAGAGTGCTAGCCTTGAGCTGAAGAGCTGAGGGACAGCGTCCAGGCACTGTTCAGGTACCACAACTGACAAAAAAAAGAAAAAAGAACCTATCTGTACATGAACACCTTTCTCTAATGTTCATTAGAAACAGATGCATGCTCAGATGCTTCTAAAACTATAGTGTGGTTGTGAAAGCAGAAATACACAAGAAAAGGCCTCACATGATGCTCACATAGTTTTTCCTAGCCTTTTCTGTATTGAAAACTTGAAATCATATTCTGAACTCATCACAGTCATAAACACACAAGTACCCAGTCCATTCTTAACTTCTTATTGATGATTTTAGTATGGTCTCCACTATTATTTTGAAATCACAAATGTCATTAATAATGGAACCAGCAGGTAGGTGGGTAGAAAAGAAAAAGCCTGAGCCAGGCGCCGGTGGCTCATGCCTGTAATCCTAGTTACTCAGGAGGCTGAGATCTGAGGATCGCAGTTCAAAGCCAGCCCGGGCAGAAAGTCCGTGAGACTCTTATCTCCAATAAACCACTAAAAAACCAGAAGTGGTGCTGTAGCTCAAGTGGTAGAGCGCTCGCCTTGAGCTGAAGAGCGCAGGGACATCGCCCAAGGCCAGAGTTCAAGCCCCGTGACCAACCAAAAAAAGAAAAGAAAAGAAAAAGCCTGGTGTACTTGTGACATGTCATTTCTGAGACCTATGGTGGTCTCTATCAACCTCCATGGACCATGTTTACAATGCTTTTGAGTTTAGTTCTGGACAATACTGATGGCTCTTTCTTCACAAGAGTAAGAGACAGATCCTGGGTGGGAAAGTATGGAATGGATCCCATGAATTAGAAAAAAAAAAAATCATTCCCCGCCAAACTTCTGGTTTTAACTTCAGCTTGTGTCTAATGTTTTTTTTTAGCTTTTCTTCAGTACTCTTCTGACCTCTCTCCCCACAGCTATCCCTCCAGAACACCAGCTCCAGCCTCTGCAGCAGATTTCTGCGTTGCTCAGAGAAGCAGTTGAAGGCCAGATTTGTGGGTGAGCAAACATTGACCACTGCTAACTCCACTGCACAGGTGTTTCCCTCATCCTTATCTCCCTTTAATTAGGACTGATAGCTGAAGGCTATACTGACTTCACTAGACAGGTAAGCACCATCCGTAAATGACAGCAAGTAGAAGTGCCCAGACACAGGGATGATAGTGGAAGTTAGATGAGATGGGTATGTGGGGGCAAGTCCCTGCATGGGAACAGTTCTAAGTAAGGCCTGGATTTTCATTCCGATACAACCAACCCTGACAGTAAGCAGAAAGACCCTGGAAAAAAGCAGCTTGTGCATGCAGGGAGACCCTCACCATTCAGAAGAAAAGAGTATCCGTGAGTTCTCTGTTCATTCTGCCTAAGAAGGAAATGCTAAACTTCTGCCCTGCAGGAGGAAACATTTACTATTTTGTCTTTTTTTTCAATTGACATAAAAATTGTTTTCCTATTTAGCAAATCTCTCCAAAGTTAGAAAACCTATTCTACATAAGTTAATTTCTACCAGTATGGTATTAAGAACCCTCTTCTGCTATTTTCCTAAACAAACTCAAGTGTAGACTTGCTATGTTCTTGTAATACAACTCACTCTGGTTTCTTCCTAACACCCACATTTATAATATAAATGACTCATTGTCTTCTGTTGACCTACTTAAGACTTTTGTTTGTCCCTCTTGCCATCCTGTTCTTTCTAGATTCCCTATCACTTTCTCTGCCAGAGCCTGGTGCTCCTTTATCTATTTGCACCAACTGAAGTTCTTGGTACCAATTACTCCCTTTTTCCTACCAAATTCTTACCAAAAGAGGACAGATGAACACCAGCTGGCAGCCAGATCAGAATGTTGGCCACATTCACTGCCTTGTTATACCTTACCGGCACCTGCTTGCCCTTCCTTGTGGCCTTCTGGGGTTGCAGATCTTATGGTATGCAGACCTTTACCTATGCTTTGGAGTCCACCTTCAGGAGAGTCTGTGACTAGGTGTTAGCACTTTCTCAGCTGTGCAGGTCTCTCCCTGCTGGGAGAAGGAAGCAGCAGGATACTCATTGTAAAGCTTACTGGCCAGCCCAGTGAGTCTATAGAGAAAGATGTAGAGAGAGAGAGAGAGAGCCTTGCCTCACCCTCAGGCATCCTAGCCAACCCCAGCTCATCCTGGCCTCTGAGCTTCAGCTCTGAGCTATGAATGAGCTGCCTACCTCTTCTCTCTTCTCCTTCACTGTTCTGAAACCAAGCTTTCAGAACATTCACTCTGTGTTTCTCAGAGAATTCTGCCCTCCACGACCAGGGAGGCAAGGGACAGTGTTTAGAGCCCTTAGGGATCCTTTTGGCTAAGCAAAACAACAAGGAATCGGGTCCTTCACGTACTAATATTTCAGAGGGTTCCAGAACACTCCTGTTCCAGCTATTCTTCCTTTCCAGAAGGTTAGTTCCTATCATGCTTGGCCTCTAGCCCTCCTGCTTCAGTTTCTGTAGGGCACATGTTGATCTGCTGAGACTCACTGCACTAAATGCAATGGGCCTTTCCTTCAAGTATATTCTACCCTTAAAATAAATGTCACAATTCTCAGTTCCCACAGTGACAGGGGTAGTTTTTTTAAGCCTTCAGTTTCCTGTCCTGATAAATGTATGCTGATGGAAAAACACCCAGCACATTATTCATTAAAAGTACATAATTAAAACACTGACCAGAACTTTGTGTATTTCTGTTTGTGCCCCCATGTCCCACGTTTTGTCCCAAAGAGTAGGAGCCAGCAGCCTTCTCTAGGCTCCACTTGATCTCTGGAGCTTCCCTCCTCTTTTGCTCTAGAGCTACCAGGTGGCTGCTTTTGCAGCTGGCAAGCCTTATACTTCCCATCAGCCCAGCTGTGCAAGCCAGGTAGAAGGAGGCAGGCCAGGTACAGGTGTCATCCTGCACTGTTCCTGTTGGTCATAGGTTAGATATCCTTTTCTGGAAGTCTATACTCATAATACCCAGGTATTAGGACTTAAAAGCATCCAAAGTCCTCAGTACACATGGAGTGGGGAGTGAGGGGAAGGCAGGAGGCATCTCTTTGTATGTCCTGTGATAGGCTCACTAGGGATTTCTGAGTCTAACTTGTTTTCTTTTGCAAGTTGTATTTCACTGGTAAGTGCACTTTAAACCAACCATTCACACACATTGAAGTTGTATCTTTGGTTTTGTTCCAGGTCCCAAGGTTATCCCTTTGAGAGCTGGTTTTTGCTCGCTCACTTTGGAGGATGGATTGACATGGCAGCTCAGCAGTTACTGAGGTTGGAAGCTGAACCTCCTGCAGCCCTGCTGTGGCTCTTGGCATTCTACTATAGCCCCCAGGATGGGAGGCAGCAGAGGGCACAGACCATGGTAGGTAGCAGGTCTCTCTCTGTGTGCTCAGGGTTGGGCCCTGGGGAGTAGATCTTGGCTGGTGGGGCTCTATTATGGATTTGTCTTCCCCCATACCCTCAAGCTCTGGGGAGTCATGGCATATGTTGTGGTAATGTGCAGTTGTCCACTTAGCTGACAGAAGATGTGGGCTGGGCCTACAAGTTAGAGATGATCTCCTTCCTCCACAGAGTAGCCTGGGGAAAAGATGTTGCCTCACCCCCCAGGACTGTACCTGCTCTCATGAGCCTCTGCTTTCCTGAGCCTCTGCTCAGGAGGGGTGACTGATTTGTTATTGCCTGGTGTCCAGTCCAGCCTCAGGGCTGTCTTCCAGGGGATGCCATGAAGGGATGACAACTCCTGTGAGGATCACTGTCCCTACGCAGAGCTTGGCTCTTAAGCCAGTCTCCTTTCTTCCCCATCAGCATCCTAGACAGTCTGCTTCTACCTGACTTTCTGCTTTCCTGGATTGGTCAATAGTTCCCACATTACTTGCTTTGTTTAGACCTCGTACTGCAGCCATCACATAATATGAACCACTTTGCTTCTGAAAAAGGACTTGGTCATTTCCTAAATAACAGAGTGGTTAAGTACAGGACTGGACTGGGTAACTGTGGCAAAGACAGCTGTTATTTTATGTGAATATAATAATTACAGGAAGCCATGCTTTGATTAAAGGCATTGGCACCTCCTTTGCAAACATTTATTTGCTGGTTCTTAAAGCTTCAACTGCCAATGTTTTGCTGATTTTAATAATTAAAGGGAACAGGTCTAATTATATATAGAACAATGTTCCTATTTGTTTTGTATTTTCTGTTTGAAAAAATCAGAGACTAGTACAGATGTCTATATTTTATTTGTTAAAGGGCTTGCATGACAATGAAAAAACAGTTGGATTTTAAAAAGCTGAAATTTGAGAATAATTTTTTGGATCAAAATAAAACAAGAAATTATCATAATCAACATATGTATTCAAGGATTGCTATCTGATTAAAAAGAAACCCTTCTATTTCTTCCCTTTAAATATCACATTAAACTAATTAAGGGAAACCATAGTTCATGCTTTTCATCATCCTATTTTTTTTTACCAGTAATGATTAGATGTATGAAGTGCTCATGATTTCTAAAGCCCTTTTGTATGCATTTTATATTTGATTCTGTATAAACTTAAGTTGGTAGGTATGTGTAAATTTCATATGAATAATAGATACTGACAAAGAAACTTAATTTTGAAGTACAGAGAAATAAATAGATGAGTAAGATTCAAACACTAGAATGTTCTTCACTGGTACATCTTTTTACTGGTTCCCTTGGTTTGGGGGTTTTGCTTTTTCTTAAAATAAAACATATGTGTAGTTCTTACTCAGGATGCTCTTGGATAAAAGTGATTAACTCATTTAGAGTAGTTTGGTGCCGTCTGTCCTGTATGCCTTTGTTGTTCAATCAGAGGTAGCCATCTGCTTAGTGACAGAAGCCAGGCCTTCGTATTAGTGATGCAGAGCCCTTTGTTCCTCAGTGTCTGGCCTGAGGTGTTGGTGTGTGATGTCCTGTGGAGGGAGATTTTCTAGGCTAACTAAATCAATAATGCAGCCGTCTTGTGTTCCTGATTTCTGTGAACTCTGCTCCCTTATGATCTGCTGGGTGACTTGATAAGCAAACAACCATATTTGCAAGCATGATCTTTTTGCAGTTTGATAGAACCTGATTACTACTGGCTGTCTCCAAGGTGTAGGAATGTGAAGGCAGTGAGCATGCCAGTCCTACCCAGGGTGTTATCTGTCTGCACACTGCCTTCTATGCAATCTAGAGTTCATATGGCACTTGAACGGTATGGATGAATGTCAAGGGGAGGCAGATGAATGAAGAGAGGAGAATGCAGCCATAATATTCAATATATATCCTACAAGGTTAAAAATGATGGAGAGAGGGGATAGATTGGGTTAGATGGGGGAGAATGATGAAAGGAGTGATAGCAATCAAGATGCGTTGTATTTACAAACTGAATTGTTGAATTGTAACTCCTTTGTACAACTGCTTAAAGATAATAATGATATAATTTTTTAAAAGCCCAGTCTATATGAAGAGACAAAAAACCCCAAAACCAGTCTTATGTTTTTATTTGCCCTGTCTAAGACAAGACTTCAAACCCCGTCATTCTACTTCCATTGTTTTTTTTATTGATTTATTTATTTTTTATTGTGAAAATACTGTACAGAGGGGTTACAATTACATGAGCAAGGTAATGAGTACATTTCTTATCAAGCATTGTAGCCTCCTCCTTTGTTTCCC